CCTGTCAACTCTTCAATTTAATCCTAAACGCTATTTTATATCATAATGTGTGCATACCTCACGCATAATACTCTAATCTATTTAATAATGAACCTCAAATTAAAGAAATATGGATAAAACTGTTCATTGGAGACTCAATTAGTTATTACACACTCTAATGGCAGAAAACCTAACCTTGAATCACAACCATCAAGAATATTTTATTATCCATCTCTTCATATCTTAAATAAACTAATATTGAGTGTATTTAGTGATAATAGCTACAATAATCCAATCATATAATATTTTCCATTACATTTTACTGCAGCTATGCATATATTCCCTATACTCCTGACTTTCGATTTTAAATCTTGCGCCAATAGCTAAGAAATGCGTCATCACGCATAAAGACCAATGATTCTAAGAGATGATCTGTCTCCATTGGTACAAATACAGCTACTCTTATTGGCTAAATACTCTTGACGCAATTTCTCTCAACCAATGAATCGTTTGATGAACGCATCTCGTGTGGCGACCAGATACCTTACCCCGCAGTTACTCTCTACCAGCGATATGGCGTACGTGCAAGTCAACCGGCACGAGCAACTGCGACGCAAGTTGCGACGCAATTAGTCTCGGATTCTTAAAATAGACTCTTAACATCTAATGAAGTCAGTGTAGTGTTTTTAAAATTAATGTTACGCGAAAATGTAGTGCGCTGCACAGAGTATAATGGATATTTTGTGAACTACCATCGGATCTTGTGAAACGTGTAATTCCACCACGTGCATAACCTAATTATCTTTTGAACAGCGGGACTCAGATTCAGTATTCGCTATTAACGCATCTGTGAATGTGCAAGATAATATAAGCACAATAAAACCTAGTAGTACGTATATTCTATATTAAATACAATAGTTTAAACTAAATTTTATAACATGGGTTATGTTAGTCGCTTGTAATCTCCCCCTAAAAGCGCATGCGCCAACATACCCTAATGGGTCCACGATGTGCGCGTTTATACTAGCGCTTCCGGTTAAGACAAGCATGGCCTAAATTTAAATTTAATTTATTTTATTCTCGACAGAAATTTCAATCTTACTATTATCCTATGTAGTCTGAGCTATCGGCACTGCACATTATTCTAACAAATCCAATTCCGAAATAATGCAGCTGTTACGACATGACTATATCTGCATCTAGTAGTTTCCTATCATAAAGGTGCATACTCTATGCTCTCTCTGCCTCGTGGAGTGCATGTAAAATTATATGTAGCCGAAACATCTCCAGTGTGACCTAAGCGAATACAAAGATTTCTATATATATTATACAAGCAAATACTACAATCACTGCGAAGTACTGCGTCGCACCCGCAAATCTAATATTGCCGATACAGTGCACTGTCCAAGCATTATTAGCCTCTAAACACCGCAGTCACTAGCAATACAATCGCTAACAACAACTCTATATAGCTGTTTCCTTTCATAAAGGTACATACTCGATGCACTCTCGAGCCTCACAACGTGCATACAACTTCTATGTTAACGATATTGCCCCTGACGAGAACAGAGCTTGCCTCGTAATATCGCAACGGATAATAGCCGCATGGCTATGTGAATACCTATGATATTAAGTCGAATTTGTCCATTAATTACAACGTCTTTTATTCACTACATAAGAGAATATTGCAACCACAATGTGACTTCGCAACGCGATCGCAAATCGCACGGTGCTAGCAATGTTAGTCTAAATATTACAATTGCTAATAGCAACCCATTCCGTGTAAATAGCTACCCTAATAATTTAACTCAGTTTTAATGATGAGAATTTACATATATTAGTTTTAATTCAAGAAGCGCATTCAGTAATACGCTCATTCAAGCTACCACGATGCGCTTGCATACTCTACGTGACCGATACTGCACACGATGCAAGCTAAACTGGCCTCTTTATACTACAATTGCTCATAACTGCTTAGTTCTTGTAAATATATGATACTAATTTAAACCATTCAAAATGCAAGTGTACCTATTTCAAAACGAAGGAATACAATAACCATTACGTGATCTCATGATGCCCATTGCAAATTTTCTGCAATTAATTCTGCACAAGATGCAGGCAGAATAACTCTGACATAATGCAACTACCTAATTGCAGATCAATTATGGTAAATACTTACTTAAAATTAATTACCCTTCCTCTGTAATGATAAGACTTCTACGTTATTAATTTCTCCTCTAACGAACCTGATTTCCTAACCTAATCCTATATAATCTACAGTGAATATTCAAATAATAATTTCTACAGAATGTATGCTTGCTATGCTTGTCTGAGAGAATGTCTGATACATCTCAATCATAAAAATACTCGAATCCACACTGTTCTTCCTTACACAATACATTACACAATATATTAATAATCTATTAGCCAGTATTTGATAGAAATAATGACACAAGGTTATATATGCCTCTTTCACGCTAATATATGTTAAACTGATACTATCAATCCTATTTCTCCTCACTATTGAGTTAACTTTAACGAACAAATTATAACTTTTACATGAAGGTGATCTCTTATAACCTGTGACTATATGCTCCTTAATAACAACGATTGAAATATCTCAATCCTTGAAACATTCAATTTATAATGTTCCTCTTTAAATTCATAATATACTAATAGTTTATTAGTCAGTATCTGATGGAAATAACGACACGAGGATACATAATACCTCTTGACTCTGACATTTATTAAAATATTACTATTGGTTCCATGTCTCCTCTTTATACTGAGTAAATTTTCAACAAACAATTTCATGAAGGAGAATTTATATCCTATGACTACATGATCCTTGATAATAACGATTTATGAATATATATTACTATGAAATGAATAGAGTTACTGTAGCTCTCCATCTTATCTGAAATTTTAAAGAATAGAATCACGGTCTCTTTTACATACTTACCTCCATACCTACCTTTTACTATGCCATAACTTACAGTCCTTTCTCTTCAAATCTATAATACAATAACAGTATATCAGTCTGAATACAACATGTGTCTACAGACTCTTTATTAATAATGACCTATAGATAAACTGTACTCTAAAATGAATAGAGATGATATAACTGACTACTATACCTGTGAAACTCATTCCTAACAGAGTCACGACACCTTTTACATACCTCTTACATACTTACCACTCTACTTACCTCTTTCTGTACTCTAATTAACAATATCATCTTGCAAATTGATATTGTGTAGTCCACGGTTATATCTGAGATATCCATCACGAATATAATCATGGCCTCCTACATACTTACCTCTATGTCTACCCTTCCTACAAACTAAATTACAATAATATCTGAATTTAATAGAAATAATATATATGGTTTTTTGACTCGAATACATGTTAGATTATTACCTCCAACATTTTTTCTTTATATACTGAAATAACTTTAACAAATAAAGTACTGGAATGAGACTTCTATATCATATGCCTATATGTCTCGTATTAACAACTATTTACAGACAATTAGAATTCTGAAATGAACAGCGACGGTAGTCTACCACCAAATCTGAGAAATCCATCATATATGGAATTCCCATTTTTCTCTTTAGATACCTACCTTTATACTTACCTCCTCCCATACTACTTACCTTCCTCCTTTCTCCTTTTCCATTGGTATTTCCTCTCCTATAAGAATGTTGTATGAATGTGAATCGTATGAATGATTGTATGAGGCTGGCGGCCGTGTCTTTAGCGTTGGGAGTGCCGGAGCAGTGTACCAGCTGTTTCACTGGTACACTGTAAAGGCTGATGTGTGGCGACACTGCCGAGACGTCACGGGCGCGGACACGTCTGGAAATACCCCCTACGGGCCCTGGCCAGGGAATGAGCACTGAACTGGGGTGTCGGAGCCCCAGTCGCCCCGGGCGAGCTCTCCCCCGTCAAACACTGGGGGGAGTAAAGAGTTAAGAGTAGGATCGATGGAGTTCTGTCGAATAGTTGAGGTTTTCCTATGGGTGCACCCTCCTACTCACTGCCCGCCCCTTTGCTCACAGGCGGTATCTATAAAACAAAGAATGTCTACAAATAAGAAACAACCAAAAAGCAACGTAAGATCTACTCTAGAAAAAAATATGCACAAATTAACTGATAACCTAAGTATCTCTCCTTTTCTCTCAAAAATTCCAGGTAAACCAGTTAATGATCCTGAAATCATTACAGACGATACCCAGCATTCTCCACGTACTCACATGAGCAAAAGCGATATTAGCTTACCAACGGACCAGTGTATCTATAACGCTTCACACACCCCGACACATACTCTCAAGCGTACTCCTCCAAAAACGCCGCATGATAACCCTAGCATCAACCCTAGCCTTGACAGCCTGCGCAATATCCTGCTACGTTGGAATATATGAAACGCAAGCGCCAATCTAATAGAAACAAGGATGATATTTAAATGCAAAACACCTCTAATACCTCTAACGATAGCAATAGAGGGAGGAGAAAAGTCCAATGATGACACTGGAAGTTCTACTGATTTTTCACTGAACGATGAGGACTACAATGTAGATTCCGACTCAAATGATGTAAAATCAATATCTAAAATCATAACCTCCCTTGTAGAATACGCGAGCGAAATAAACTATGTTAGACGCAACTCCTCAAACTTGCAGGGAGTTTTCAATGGTAAACTTAAAAAAGTTGAGAATGCACTAATTATAACCTCACATGAACTTGAAAAAACCTCAATCGAACCTACAAATAATCAAAAATTAATAGAAGAAAACCTTAACTTAATTAAAATTAATAATAATCTTGAAAAAAAAATCAAGACACTAGAGTCACGAATAGCAAAACTTGAATCTGCTTCGACTAATTTATCTACAAACCTACCTTCGCAAAATCAAAATATTCTCTCATCCCCTAACAAGCTAACTATCGACTCTCTCCTCCAATCAATTAATGATAATATTGATAAAAAGATGAAGGATCTCAAAACAGAAATTCTTACTCACGTTAGAAACAGTACATCTAATTCTAATACATTTTCGGCTATCCAACAAATTCCTGCTGCGCATACGAGCTCCTCTGCCCCGAGTACAATTCCTAACTCACCTCTACCAAACCCTAATAATGAGATGTGGGTCAAAGCTGTTGGAAGAAAATCCAAAAAGAAAGCGATACCGGCTAATAATGATATGAATACCTACAATCACAATACAAACGTGTATAACATTCCTACTGTTCCCACTCCAACTCTTACCTCTCGGAACACCAAGCCTAGTGTCCCTATAAGAAAACCAAGGAATGTGGAGGTCTTATACATTACAGAAAATAAAAATAGCAACACAAAAATAAGTCAAGTTTTAACAAAAGCTAAAGAAAACATAAATATACAAGAGCTGGGCATCTGCGCAATTAATCCACGTGCATCGTTAAACGGCGGACTCATTCTTGAGTTCCCGAAATCTAATGAAAAAGAGGTTGCTCCTATCCTAATGGAAAAGATTAAATCTTTGTTCCCACCTGGCGAAATAGCAGTTTCCTGTCCAAAAAAATACAAAGAGGTATTAATAACCAGAGTTGATATTTCTGCTACTCACACTGAAATTACTAAGGCTTTACAAACTGCATGTGGGGCTAATACTCACTTTATTTTAGGCCCTGTCCGTCCAAATTTAAGAGGCTCTGCGACAGTATGGTGTAAGTGTGATGAGAATACAGCTTACAAATTACTATCTATGAAAACACTAACAATAGGGTGGTCTTTAGCATACTTCCAACTTCTAGAAAACAGACCAGTTCAATGTTTCAAGTGCTGGTCATATGGTCATGTTCGTAACACCTGTAAATCGGAAATTATCAGAGACGGCCTCTGCTATAAATGCGGTGGTGAAGGACATCCTTCTAGTACATGCACCAATGAAAACCCTATATGTAGATTATGTCAAGAGAATAACTACAGTTACAAGCACAAAATGGGTACGAACTCGTGCAGAACCTTTAACGATTACAAAAATGATTCTCTTAAACGTAACGCTTCGTCACTTCCACAGAGTAACCCTGATGCCAACGAAACTACGGTTAGCAGAATGGAGGCTTCTGAAAAGAGAAAACCTTAGTCTTCAACCTAACAGATCTCTACCCATCACAAGATATGCATAGGACAACGAACAATAGGGTAAATTGTCCAATTCTGATTCTGCAAGCAAACATAAATCATGCTATCGCAGCTCAAGCACTTCTTGAAAGCTATATGATAAATAAAAAAATTAGTGTTGCTCTTGTGTCAGAACCTCACAACCCCTGTAAGAGTGGATGGCTAGGAAATCACGGAAACAGGGCTGCAATAGTTCTAAACAGCTCATATATCATAAATCCAATTATTATAGAAGAAAGGGACAATTATGTCGTAGCAAATATCCATTCTACAATATTTATTTCAATATACTGTCCTCCAAGCGAAAATAGAGCCAAATTTGAAAAAAGATTAAAATCATTATCCAAAATAATAAAAAAGTTCCATCATCTCCCGATCATAATAGGTGGAGACTTTAATGCCGCTAACTCACTGTGGGGTTCTGTGAGGAACTGCACAAGAGGAAATATATTAAGAAACTGGATCAATGCAAACAATCTATACTCTATGAATAGAGGTTCAAAACCCACATGTATTCGCCCCCAAGGGTCATCGAGAGTAGATATTACCTTCACTAATGTGGTTCTGCTTCGATATCTACATTAAACTGGCGTGTTGAAAACGTTGAAACCCTATCAGATCATAAATACATAAGGTTCTCATTCACTCCTTCTACTTCTAAACATCCAAAAAATAACTCATTCCCTAGATGGAATGCGAAAGCCATCGATACTGATATATGCGAGGCAGCTGCTACTGCCTTTGCTTGGGGTAATTATTTTGCACATTCTGCCGCTTTTCAATCTAAAATTAAAAAAATAGACAAATCCTTGAGTAGAATTTGTGATATCTCCATGCCGCGACAACATCGTAGGGTTAATCTTCCACCTCAATCCTGGTGGACTCCCGAGATAAAAAATATAAGAGACCAGTGTCTCAAATATAGAAGATCGTGGCAGAAACTTAGAAAAAAGTTATACAGCAGCTCGATATCTATCGAAAGAGTTAAATCTGCAGAAACATTATATCGTATATCAAAAAGCGATTAAAACATTGCATAATCGACTCCAAAAATAAGCAATGGCTTAAGATCATATCTGATCTTGACGATGACCCTTGGGGTCGTCCGTATAGATGGGCGACAAAGAAATCCGACTCGTTCCAACTACTACCGTTGACTGAGACCATTGAACCTGTCATTTTGAAATCGGTCTTAGATAGTCTATTTCCAACACAACCCCTATGCAGAATCAGGATTGGCAATTTCATATGGGATGACAGTCTCAAGGTTACTGAATCTGAAATCTTAATTGCTGTCAAAAGAATGTTGGCCAAGAAATCTGCACCCGGTATCTCTGGTGTCCCAGCAGTAGTCGTTGGTTATTTTGTCAAAACTAATATAAATACATTCATCTCTATATTCTCTGACTGTCTTAAAAAATCTATCTTTCCTGATATTTGGAAGAAAGCTAAGATTGTACTTCTTATTAAGCCAGGCAAGCCTTCTAATGAAGCTTCTGCGTATCGACCTCTATGCCTGTTAGATGAAGTCTGTAAAATTTTTGAACGAATTATTGTTCAACGCCTTGAATCGCATATTAATATGAGATGTAACAGATTAGCTGACATTCAATACGGCTTTCGGAAGGGCAGAAGTACCGTACATGCCCTTACCAGAGTTTATGACAAGATAATCAACGACAAAATGAATGGCAAAACATCAATTATTGTATGCATCGACATATGTAACGCGTTTAATACGATACCATGGACTGCAATTGTTCAGGGTCTAATGGATAAGAATACCCCTAAATATCTCATCAAAATTATTTATGAATACTTAAGAAATAGAAAAATTCTTACTATTGACAAAAATAGTCAGCTCATAACGAAAGATGTTTTCGCCGGTGTCCCTCAAGGCTCGGCCTTAGCCGCTGCACTATGGAACATAGGTTACGACAGTATTCTCCGGATGAAGTTACCCATGGGTGTTGAGATTACTGGTTATGCTGATGACACAGTACTCGTCATCACGCATAACAATCCAATTGGATGTATCGTTAAAGCTTCTAACACTGCACAACTGGTAGTTGATAAAATTAGATCCATCGGCCTTAACGTAGCTGCTCATAAGACTTCTGTTTTATGCGTAACTCCCATTAAAAACAGAATTAAGCCAGAAAAAAGATATATTACGCTTGATAACTCCAAGGTCCCTTTTTCCGACCATATTAAATATCTCGGTGTCCTTATTGACGAAAATTTATCATTCATAACNGAACATACTCGCTTTCTATACACACATACATTCAACTCGATCGTTCTATATGGTGCACCCATCTGGGCCAAGACAGTTCTTAAAAATAATATATTAAAAAAGGCCTTGCTTAAGTTACAAAAAAAGATGGCAAATAGAGTCTCGCGATGCTACAAAACTGTGGCTTTGAACACTGTTTTACTACTATCTAGAT